AGTGGGACACTCCTGTGGGACACTCATTTGGGACACTCTTGCGGGACACTCTTGTGGGACACTCTTGTAGGACACTCTTGTGGGACACTCTTGTGGGACACTCTTATAGGACACTCTTGTAGGAAACCCTTGTGGGATACTCTTGTAGGACACTCTTGTGGGACACTCTTGTAGGACACTCTTGTGGGACACTCTTGTAGGGCACTCTTGTAGGAAACTCTTGTGGGACACTCTTACGGGACACTCTTGTGGGACACTCTTAAGGGACACTCTTGTGAGACACTCTTGCGGGACACTGTTGCGGGACACTCTTGTGGGACACTCTTATAGGACACTCTTGTGGGACACTCTTAACTCCTGTGAGACACTCTTGTGGGACACTCTTGTGAGACACTCTTACGGGACACTCTTGTAGGACACTCTTGTGGGACACCCTTGTAGGACACTCTTGTGGGGCACTCTTACGGGACACTCTTGTTGCACACTCTTGTAGGACACTCTTGTGGGTCACTCTTCTGGGACACTCTTGTCGGACACTCTTGTGGGACACACTTGTGGGCATCGCAACCTCACGATTCCCTGTGCCTGCCACGAAAATCCCACTTCCACACCTCAAAGCCCGCACAAAGTCCTGCGCCTGCCACGAAAAGTAACAATGTCATCTCATGTGAGCTTCAACAAAATTTGCACCACACCACACGTTTGGAGTGATTTCGACCCGTTCTGAGCACACCCATCCACCAAAATCGGCATTTCAGCTGAGACTTGTCACGAAAACAGAGCTTCGATGCCACACCCTGAAACGCAAATCCCAATGGCACGGCCACATCCAACACCCCAAAAACACGACTCTCCAAACGCTAATCCCAATGGAGCTGCGCAGCAATCTGCAGATCTCACAAAACGCTGCGCCTGTGCAGCGAAACGCATCAAGTTTCTTGCGCGACATCTCATTTTCATGCAAATCACAATGGATTAGCGGCGCAAACTGACACGTGACACATCCATGAAAAGCACTTGCAAAAGCTTCCCCCAATGGCAGCGCCTTAGCGCTCTACTGCGGACGGTTGCGAACGGTTGCGGACGGTTGCGAACGGTTGCGAACGGTTGCGAACATAGAAACAACGGGTCGCGAACAAAGCTCTACCCCCAGACCCCCAAGAGTTAAACGAGAACCCTTCGCTACGCATTCGGGAAAAAAAGACAGGACCAATCTCAATCCATCAGCTGTTGTCGCACAGTTGTACTTTGTTCACTTGCTGCATCACAATGCTAAGCGAACACACCGCGATTACAACAATATCATGAAATGATATAAAATAATCTACCCCACTCACGGCAATCCACTACCTTCATCGCTTTTGGATGCTTTTAGTTGTTATTGTTGTGTGCTTGCCACGGCATTGGTGGCTGGAGGTTATAGGTTTTGCTCCAGTGCCTGGTGATTGGAAGTAGTTGGAGCGCCACCCTGCAACTTCTTCAACTAGGTGATTGATTGGACTAGCTCCATGGCTCCAAGCACTTGCACAAATGTGCGCCGCGGGTCTTTGGACGGATTGCAAGGAAACATTGGCTCAGGCCAATGACCAACCACTTGTAAGCTGCTTGAAGCACGGCAAACAGTCCTGAATCCTGCTTGAAAACTGCACACTTTACTCCACTTATTCCACCTAATCTTGCTGGGTCAGAGGTACATGTTATGTTTATTCAGCTGCGGCCAGGAAAGTCAGACTACTTGTTGAGTATAATCCCCGTCGTCTGTCGAAGAATGCTGGCCAAGCTGCGGCAAAGAGAAAAAGATGTGGATACCTTGGCGTATCCATTGGACTTCGATAGTGCAATTGTTTTGCTGACGTCAGCCGTTTGATCTAAACTGCATGCAGGACATGGGTTCTTTCTAAGCCTAGCTGCTCGATCACCTTGCTCAGGGCCTGAAGCCCACACATTGCAGCAATTGAATCGTAAACATAATCAATAATCGAAACAGTTGGAATAAACAAACAACATAAACAACTCCATGCATCAAGCCTCCAGGCTCAGCACTGATTGCCCTTCAATGGCCACGGATGCCAGGAGCAATGCAAAGGAGGCTGTAGGCGCTAAAACATATTGTCCTCGCAGCAAACAGGAACTGGTCCAAGTTTCTAAGTGTAATTGTGTAATTGTTTATTTGTTGGAAGAACATTGTTTATTGGAAGAAAACATGTGCTTCTTCTATTTTAATGTATATGTATTTGTTATATTTTCTATGCATCACCGTCTCTGCAGTACCTACGTGAACCCCCATTTGTGGCACTGCCAAACTCAACTCCTTCGGTAACGGAGAGCTTGCCTCAGCAAAGCAAAAGTAACTCTTGCAGTCTTTATTTCCTGCAAAGCATGTGAACAATTGCCACAAAGTCCTGCTCAGTGCTGCAGCACTGCAACCAGTAAGATAGTTCTTCCGACCAAGCGACATGAACTGAGCAAGAACTGCGTCAAACTCACCCGGAGAGCTTCAGTCAGCATTGCCCCCAGGGACAAAACAAGTCCTCGCAGCTCAGGGAATGCAAGCAACAGCAAGGCCAGTGATTTCCCCATGAATTTCCATAGTGGTTTTGGGTAATTTGGCATTGGCGTTGAAGATGCTGCTGCATGTTTTGAAAAATCTGAAGCTTGTATAAAGTAAGTGCAGGAGTAGGGTAGGGCGGTGACGCTGCCTTGTTTGTTGTTGTATGGTGTCCGCAATCCAGCTTCCATGCTCTGATCTGTGCAAACGACACTGCAACTTTTTTAGTTGGCAGAATCAGCTCTGGAGTTCGCCGACCCAACCGGAGAAGAGCTCCAGTACTTTGCGAACAAATCACTGATTGTTGACTTTTGCCACGGTACTTCATGCTAGCCCCACATTCCACGGGCTTGGCCCATGAGCTGCGTTGGTGACCCGGGGAAGCAAATCAAGATTCACAGAGAAAACTAATTCACCAACGTCAGAGTAGATGGCTCCGCCCAAAGTGAATAATTATAGCAAATGGATGGCATTGACATGACCCACGCCAGATTCCGGAGAGGAGACCGAATTTGATGGAAGATCATGTGTGCCATATTTAGCAAGTTCTCACTATATTGCAGTGGCCCCTGTGAGAAGTAGATGGCGCAATCCTGCCAGAGGGACCACCAAGATTGTTTCATGAAACGTAATTGAAACCCAGCTGCCTGAGTCAATGAACCATCTCTTTTCGTGCTTTACAAACTACAGCCAAAGGCCGCCCAAAAACAAATACCCCAAAATCGTCATTGTTTGATCTCCTTCGTTAGCGATCCTGATCGCCAACTAGCAAATGATATGGCGCAAGCTTGCAGCTGTGCCATCAATTTATTTGGACCCCCTCAAAATAGAACACCCAGCGCAATTCAATATTTTCAGGCTAGACATGGCTAGAATCTGTGATGCAGGACTTTGGGCCAACCAGCAGGGAAAAACTCTTGGGCCCTCGTGTGCCAAAAAAAGTTTAACGATGTTTAACGCATGACGATACCTTCAATCAATCAATCAATCAATCAATCAATATCCCTCTCTCACTCTCAGAGATCTTGGACTGGGATGGGCTGAGACGGGATGGCCTCAACATGCCTCAACAAAGGAAACGCCAAAAAACAATTACTTTACTTGGGGTTATCCCGCCCTATTGACAGACTAGCCGCGCTTTGCGGATTGAGAATGTTCTGACGCTTGTTCTGGCATCAAGTTTGTATTGTGCCCTGATACATCGTCTATCATAAGGCTATAGGGGTCCAGGAGCGTGCGCAGGAGCTACCGCTGCGATCTGGAGCTAGCTGTTCGCAGCGTAGCTGACCATACCGGACCTTGCTACTCAAGCTGCAGGGAGGTCTGGGGGCGCCCAGCGATTTGGAGCTTGCTGTTGAGGCCCGGACGTGCCTGCTGAGATCTTGGTCTTGCTGCTGAGGTCCGGTAGCGCTTCCCATGCTGACTCTCATTCATAAATCATTTCTGATCATTCTGCTTGCTCTTCTCATCCTTCCCAGCAGCAATCTGTGCAGCCAATGTATACTCATGTGGGATCTTCCTGCCCAGTCAGTCTCTTCCCCTCCTTCCTCATCCAATAGGCAGTGCATTTCCATACATTGCATTCCATACACCCACTGGAATACCTGCATCTCATCCTTCCCTGTTAAAACCCAAAAAGCTTGCTAGCAAAATTCTTTCATTTTCCCTTATTAAAACTCTATCAAAATCTTGAGGTTTTCAAGCTCACAAAGGGTACCCCTCACACAGGCCCCTCCCCTATTAATCAAGCCCACCCTCTGGCCTCCATCTTGTTTTCCATCACTTTCATCCCGCAATCCTTTTTCTTTTCCTAATCATTCCAATCAAAGAAAATATCTCGTCTTCCAATCTCTTTCATCTCTTTCGTATCATCCCAATCATCCCAATACCAATCTTTCCCAATCTTGTCCTCATCTCATCATCCATCATCAGGTCATCATCTTTATTAAGGGGATGTGGTCTCCAAAACCTCCAATCTCAAACCTTGTTGACCTTGTTGACCTTGAAGGGGGGAGTTGATTAATCCTACTTCGACATTACCGTTTAGAAAGCACGACACGAGACTAAAAGAAGCCAAACACATCTGCTCAACACATCGCTCGTCGCGTTCAGGCTTCCGCAACTTGCGCTCCTGGAGCACTCCACTCTGGCGTGGTGCCAGCTGTGATGAATGTGCCGACCTGAGCTCGACCTGCTCTTGCTCTCTAATCTGTCTACACTACAATCCCATCCGCACCCCATCATACTATCAGAAGCGAGCCCCAGCGGTGCTAGCATACAGCGAGCATTGGCTAGGTCTTCAAAGAGGGGCATTCAAGGGGAGCTTTGTCCAAGCCCAAGCAGTACAAAAGCCCGCCCACAAAGCCCTCCCTGCCTGTGAATATTCGAAGCATTGGTCGGACACTATGAGTGACACATACATAATCCGAAGGAGAACCACAAGAAGAACTAGAAACGCATGTGTAGCTGTCGTAGCTCGCGAATGCGCACATGCGCCCCAGGTTTTCCCAATGCAGTCAAGCGGCAGTTATGAGAGCTACCTGACTGACTAAACACGTGTTGGATCCAAACTATGACTTTCCTCCATTGAATGTGCGGATTGTTGCCCATACAAACAGCTGCTGTCTTTGCGCTTTCGTTCTTTATCTTAAAAGGTTCCACAACCCAAGTGCACAAAGTGGTACAGTTGGGTCCCTGTCGGGTACTGTAACCCTCCATGCCAACCCACTCTGCTTCCATCTTAGAGATTGACATTGTCATTCCAAGGTAAGGTAATTGATCATTCAATTAATGGACCTGCATACCCCTCGTCACACGTACAATCCCTTAAGGCGTACTCACCCAGGATTGCTTTCATCCCACAACATAACAACAGTGCATCATCATTTGTGCAAGTCCTATAGCCTTTTGCCTACTATTGGAATCCCACTGGTGCTGTGAGACCCTTGCTGCAGGTCAGCCACAAAAAATGTCCGGAGAAATGATGGCGATTCCAGCCTCAGCAGTTGCTCGCTGGGTGCAGTACGTTTTGTGATTATAATCACTTTAAGCACTTGCAAGTCCAACAAAATAGACTCCTCGTGCCTCAGCATGGCTACGGTCAGCAGCACAAAGATTGGAGTGCCTGCCAGCCAACTTCAGATTACCAACGCTGGGCTTGCCAAACGTCAACTTCAGATTGCCTGCTTTCAGCATTTGAACCATTCCGACACCGAAATGAAGATATGCCGCGTTTCCTGGGCCAACGCGTAGAAGAACAACCAAGCGTCCATCAGATTGGTGACGTTTGGTCTGCGAAAAGGGTCCAGAAAAGCACACCTCAAATCGTCTAGGGAGGCTGCCTAAGGCCAGCGTCGCCGCCTGGCAGGTTGGATCCCTGGAAAATTAAAAGTACATGGGATCGCTGGCCTGGCAAAGAGCTACAGGAACCTGAGCTTTGGAGTTGAGGCGCTGAATCATCCAGAAAGGTTTTGCAGGATTTTGCTTAGATTTGCGCAGAGTACAGTAAAGCGCAGAAATGCCAAGGCACGACATTGAAGAACCATGCGTTGCCAGTGGCATACATCAACACCTCTTTCCTGGCCCGTCTCAGCCGCGGTCTGCTTTGGGAGCTGAAGCATCTGCCAAGATTGCCAGGCCTCAAAGTTACCAGTCCAGAGTTCACGCTCATGTACGCTGCACCTGCTGAGCCCAAAGTACCTGCTGAATGATCTGGCAGGAGCGTGGTTTGAGCATGTGATGCTGGCATGTTGAACAATGATTTGCCTAGCGGCCCTAGCATTTTGGCAAAGTCCAGGTGCTCTAGCGGCTTTAGGCGACTACTCACAGCAAACTTCAAGAAGTGCGCTAGTGAAGAAATGTGTGCTAAAGCAATGATACAGTATAGTCTCTCTGCTTCTCTCACTGGGGGCCCCTTTGGGGTCGAAGCATTCAAAGCTCTGGAGTTCCTTCAAACCCCTGAGGCAGGCTTTGCTGGAAATCCCTAGATTTCCAAGCAATGAAAGGCAAAGCAGGAACACCTTGACCATGGTCTCCTCGGCTGTGTCTATGCAATATTGCCACAATATTTCTTTGGACCAGTGAGGTGAAGTCCGCTCCCTTTGAGTAAATCCAATCAATTGCAGTTTAGTTTTATTCATTAAAGATACAGTATGAAATAAGCTGGTTCATGACTGGTTAAAGAAAAACAACTCCCCAAATCCTGCTAGTTGCAGCAATTGGCTGTAGCAATGGCTCCAGTGGGCTCTCAAGATGCAAGCAAAGAGGCGCTGCTGCCTTGGCCAACAAAGGCATGCAAATCATGTGGGTCCTGTGGACTCATCTCGTCTAATGTGCTTCACGCTGGGTGCGTTAAGGTGCCATCTTCCGGATCCACTTTGCCTGGCCCGAATGTACACGTGCCAAGAGCAGCTACCACGATCGCAAGCCTGGAAGGTGCACACACACACAAGCCAACAAATGTCCATGTGCTCCTAGTCTACCAACGCAGAAGAAAGGGGGGGGACACAGGTCTGAAATGAGCCTATCTCAACCAGTAGCAAATATCTTACACCTTTGCATTTACAGACTCAAACAACTGCCCCTCAAACAAATATGAACATCGCTACTATTCTATTTTTTGGCTGAACCTTATCATTTCTGCTTCCGCGGGTTGAATCATAATATAATTGTCAGCTGAAAGCCCCCCAAACCTGGCAGGCCAGGAGTCGGCAGCGTAGTTGAGGGCTACTGAGCCCGCAAAGTATATGACGGCCAGGAGGATCCTCAAATCAACGTGACTCTATGGAATGTATACATTGAGCAATGCAGCTGTGAGGCAGCTATTGTGGTAAGGAGGACCGTGCTAGCCAATCATCCCCCATATAGGCAGCCACAAGGGATTTGAGCCAAGGTCCGTGGCCGTCCGTGAGTAGAATATATATATATATACATTTATATATATATATATTATATATTATATACACAGTATATACGTACATATTCTAAGAGGATCTAAGAGGTTTGTATGTAGAAACAGGCTAAACAGCCGCTTGCACTTGTCACGAGTCACTAGTGTTTCTTGATTCGTTTGCTGGTTGAGTTCTCAATCTAAAGGTAATGATGGTAATGTCTTTCCAATGGCTGCATGGGCGTTGTCAACAAATGTGATGGCTTTGAGTTATGAAACCGTAATGTACAACTAGTGTGCATTAATATGCACAAACATTCCTACATTGTTTGACCTGGCTCAAGGTCTAGGCAAAGCACGCTTATGCAAGCGCACACATTCTTAATATACCCTGCCCTGTTTTGGAGGTGTCAGGGGACTTGGGGGGCACTGACAAGCCCCGGGTAACAAAGACGTTTGTCACCTGCCTGTGATATCAATTAAAAAACGCTTCACGGATGCACCTGCTTTCATGTGGTTGTGGTGTTGATACGCAGTTCCACTGGGCCCTTGGTTTGCTGTACACGCTTGCTTAACTTCCCTCAGCAACCGGGCAACCTTCCCAGAAATTTGCACCCTGCTGCTTGTTTGACTCAGGCTCCTGTTTTCACCTAGGTTTCCTCGAGTGGCAACTGCTTTTCGTACGTACACTAATCTCAAGTGTGTGTGAGTCTGTGTGTGTGGACAGGTAAGACAGTAACACACCCTTCTTCGGTGGGCTGTTCCGTCACAACAAAATCACTTGCATTGCCAGGCAACAATAAAAGCACGAGGGCCAAAGGCTCGTACTTGAAGCGGTTGTCCAGGAACATATAGTGGAAAATTCCTGTCCTCGCTCGGTTTGTGCCGTGCTAGTATTTAAAAAGAACACGAATCACAAAGCCAATTGATGACTGGGACCGCCAAACTAATCAAACTTCCAGGAATATGTCGCTGGTGTTTCTAATTGTTCCCATCCCATTGATCTGCATGCCGAGCTGCTGGTGAAAGAAATACCTTGTGATGCAATAGGATTGCAAAATCTACAGTTTGTCGGGATTCCATTGGGTGATGCAGCAGTTTCCATTACAGCACAATGGCAGTACACATGAAAACACGACATCCCCGCACTAGTGTGCTCTATGGCTTCATCAGCAAGTGCCAGTTTTTACCTGCAGCTGGCGCTTTCGTCAAGCTTTCGCAGGTGGGCATCGCAGCCACTAAGCTTTGGCCCCGCATTGCTTTTGCTGCGCATGCAATTCTGCTCATGACACGGCATCTTGTGTCAAGTATAGAAAAAGTGACTAGTAGCGTCCTTGCTCCTAGTAGCGATGCCCTTGCTACTAGTAGCTTCTTGCTAAAACGTGTCAGCTACAATTTTGCATTCACTGCAGTCACTGCGACTCTTGATTCAAGCCCATGCTTGAAATGAATCTGTCACCAACCTCCTGAAAACATACATATGGTTGGACAACAATAAACCAAGGCTCTGAGCAGTGTCTTAGGAAATTGAATAAAACCCATGCCACAAATTTCACCAAGCTTTTGCAAATTGCAACTCCCCAATTGCCACAGTCGTACCTCAGCGTTGCCACACTAGTCTGTATGAAGGTACCTTAGTGTGCGAAGAACCTGACATGCCAAAGCAGTTCTGATGCTGCGGCCGCCCAAAAAACTATTCATGCCGTCGTGTTTCCGACAGAAGACCATTGACCATTGACTATTGCAATGCAGGGTGATGGACCCAAGCAAATGATTTGTGGTGTTGTGTCAACAAATCAAGGGTTTACATAAAATGCGCGGTAGGCCTTGGAAGGCATAGAACACAGCAAAATCAATTGGGAAAGACTGCGTGCAACAGCTCTTGAGTGGAACTATTTACGCTGTGAACTGAGCCCAATCACCAGGTCAAAACCATGATTCCAACAACATAGCAAACTGATGCAAACTGTATACACTTGCCTTGCGCCAAAAGTTGTGTTTGACCAGTCTCCGCACTCAATTACAGCACCAATCGATGTGGATGTGACTAGACCAGACTTCGAGGAATGACTCCACAGGATACATTGTCTGCGATCTTCTGGCTTTACAATACTTGCGTCTGCTTGTGCCATCGTCCCTCCCAAAAAGTCTCCAAAGGAGCGTGAGAAAGCTCCGACATTGCATTGGCGTATCACTGGATCGGCCCTGACTGTTGGGTGCCTTGTAGAAGCTGCAAACTTGCGCTTCACTTCACTTGCTTCTCTTACTTTCAGTGGTCATCCAGCAGCTGGGGTGAAAGTTGCAAACGATCAAACGTGTGTGGAAGCTGAAGCCATTGAGCTGCTCTTCCAGCACCTGGTGTACCTGCAGCACATTGTGGTTGCTGCTTTCTCTGTGCTCCGCTCAGCATTCACATGAATGGCTTCCAGCCCCTATCACGCACGTATCGTGAATTTGGGCTTTGAGCTGGGTTTGGTGCCAAAGTGTCGGCTGTGGCTTTGCTGTCTTCTTACTCCTAAACTACTTTTGGATGATGAGCAAATCAATAGATGAAAGCCGTTGAAGGTGAGACTTGGGGCTGCCACAGAAAGTTCACTTGCCAAACAACCAGCTATGCCAGCCCAAGACTGGCCCTCAAGTGCAGTGTGCAGGGGATGCTGAGCAAGATGGTAATGCCCCTTCAGCTTGAAGGGCTGTCATCGTTGCTGTCCCACTACACAATATCGACAGCTTCGTCTTTCATTTGGCGTACTCTGGCGATCCAGTCTAGACTATCTACCGCAGGATCAGGAACAGAAAAGCTCCCTCGCCATACATTTAGAGGCAAACATATTGCCGTCTACAAACTGCCAGGCCTTCAGGACCACCGGCCGAATAGAAGCTTTTCTGTTGATCCACAAACAGTGCCACAAACACTGAAGCCCGGGGGTAGACAGGCCAAAGACCAACGCCGGCCTCAGCTTTATCACATGGACGCAACAAACCCGACAAGGAAACTCCCCCCCCCCCCACACCCCAAAAGTAAAACTTCTCGGTTTGATGCTCCTCAATTCTGTCAAGCGGCATCCCGCCAGCTGCTAGTCTCCCGCCTCTGCTTCCCAGTTCAATGCACTCCAGCTGCTCCCATCCTTGAAAAAACCGTTAAATTAGACCAAGCAGAGTTTGCACCGATCAAAACTTACTGGGAACTACCCAGCCCCAACAATGATATGCGTTGTCTGTGCCCTCGCTCTGCTCATCTCATCGTACAACTTGCCAAACACTCCTAAAACATCCAAAAACCCAACACTAGGCGCCAACCCCAAACTCACAAACCTTAACCAAGAGGCAAATGCCTCTGGTGACCGTGTCGGAAGATGTGGCGGATCGGGGCACAATCGTGCCACCCGTACCTGACTGAAACAACAAAAACAGTTGTAAACATTGGAGTGTTCTGTATTAATCTGCATTTAATTAACAAAAAATCTCAAAATGTGCTTGAAACATCTACAAGACTTGAAGGAGGCCTTCGTGTGTGGATGTGTCCACAATTGTGGTCGTTAGTCCGTTGCTGCGTCCGTGGGTGCACGTGTGTGTACACATGAGTTGTGTTACTTTTTTGGTGGTGTGGGGCTTATACACTGGGTGTGTACCTACGCAGGTGCCTACGCCTGGGCTCCCCTCTCAAGCAAATGCCTACGCAAAAGGTTCTCTTTGTTGGATGCCCACGCGGGATGCCTACGCAGGGTATCGTCACCACCAACTTTAGTCATGCGGCAGCTACAGTATAAAATCCGCAAGTAGTGGCCCGATGCGACCGGGTCACATCAGG